TGTCATTAAAAATGTTTTAAAGGAAATACTGTAACTTGGAAAGTATAACCACTATATGTACGAAGTGTCCATACTATGCGTTGTGCATGTAATATGAAAAATGATTAAAGTATTTTTGTTAAGAGAGGGATGTGATTTAATAAGCTATAAGAGATAATTGTTTTCCATAAACTGTGCACAGGAAGTAGTCACCTCCCAAAGTGAGGTCAGAGAGCATGTCAGCCTGACGGAACCGCCCCTTTTCGAGCAGAGTCTGTAAATGGTGGGTTAAGAATTAACATATTAGATCAGAAAAGCATAAAGCGGCCGCTACACGTTCCAAAATAATTGGAACTCTGAATTGCAACACAAAGTGGAGAAGGAAAACTCACTTCCAGGACAATCACTGGTACGGCTGATTAGCTGTCCTAAGTAAAGTATCTATGAAAGTGAATTTAAGTAGGCCCATCCTATTACTCTGCTCAAACCATCCTTTTACGCTATGCCCATCACCCCACTGGGAATCATCAATACGGCTGGCTAGCCTATCTTCAAAGAAACATCTTCAAGAGTGAATGGAAGGAAAATCAACTATAGTTCTGTTCAGGACTACAAGACAAGTCATCGGAGACCGGACAACTATGAAGAAGAGAACAACAGTAGAAGACTCGTTGGAACCTTTTAGACAATCAGAGACTTACAAGCGGGCAGCGAGAAGGCCCAACTCCCTTTCCAGGGCGGTACAGTCCACCGAGAGAGATACACGGCGAACCAGGCATTTCACATAAATACATTCATGAATTCTTACTGAATGAGGGCGGAGGTTTGTGTGCAAAGTATATGGTTACTATAGAGGAGAGTAGTTTTACGAATGTGGCAATGTTAAGTGTCTCTAACCTCTTCCCCTTTTCTTTAACATGCATCAATGTTGTTGTCATTCCGCTAGGGAACTGTTGTAGCGGGTGATGATGGACGGAGTCAGACGCAGGAGAGGAAATCACGGAATAAATGGTTTAATCAATAAACAGAGGTAAGCAGCAATGCGTAATACACACTAGTGTGGACAAACGGCGCACTGGGGAAAATAAGGCAGACGGGTGAATAACCCAGCGATACACAATAGAAATTAGCTCCACCGAGCTATAATCTCCTCTACAATAAACAATCACACACAAAGACAAGGGGGCAGAGGGAACACTGATACAGGTACTGATGAGGGGATATGAACCAGGTGTTTGTAATAAACAAGACAAAACAAATGGAATGATGAGATGAGGAGTGGCAGTGTCTAGAAGGCCGGTGACGACGAACGCCGAAGCCTGCCCGAACAAGGAGAGGGGGCAGCTTCGGAGGAAGTTGTGACAGTATCCCCCCCTTGACACGCAGCTGCAGCAGCGTGCAGACACCGGCCTCGGTGATGGCCAGGATGACGCAGAGCAGGGCGAGCAGGATGGTGACGGTGGAAATTCCGCAACAGGGAGAGATCGAGGATATCCCTCACCGGGACCCAGCACCGCTCCTCCAGACCGTACACCTCCCACTCCATGAGGTACTGAAGGCCCCCCACCGACACCTCGAATCCAGGTAGGAATGGACGGAGTACGCCGGGGGGGCAGAGGGACCTCCCGCATCTCAGACTCCTTGAGCGGACCAGCCACCACCGGCCTGAGGAGAGACACATGGAACGAGGGGTTACTATGGTAATCTGGAAGGAGCAGTAACCTATAGGTAACCTCGTTTATTCTCTTCAGGACTTTGAACAGCCCCACAAGCCATGGGCTCAGCTTCCGGCAGGGCAGGCGGAGGGGCAGATTCCAGGTCGAGAGCCAGACCCGATCACCCGGTACAAAGACTGGGGTCTCACTGCGGTGGCGGTCAGCGTTGGCCTTCTGGCGATGCACGGTGCGCTGGAGGTGGACGTGAGCAGCGTTCTACGTCTCTTCCGCACGCCAAAACCAGTCATCCACCACAGGAGCTTTGGTCTGGCTCTGATGCCACGGTGCCAGAACCGGCTGATAACCTAAAACACATTGGAATGGCGATAGGTTAGTGGAAGAGTGGCGGAGAGAGTTCTGGGCATATTCGGCCCATGGCATGAACACCGACCACTCCCCGGGCAGGTCCTGGCAGTAGGACCGCAGGAACCTACCCACATCCTGATTCACCCGTTTACTCTCGGGGTGAAACCCAGAGGTCAGGCTGACCGAGACACCCAGATGTTCCATTAACGCCTTCCAGACCCTGGACACTATGTCCTCTGGCACCCCGTAGTGCCGGAAGACGTGAGTAAACAGGGCCTCCGCAGTCTGCAGGGCCGTGGGGAGACTGGGCAAAGGAAGGAGGCGGCAGGCTTTTGAAAAAAGCAGTCTACAACAACCAGGATGGTGGTGTTACCCTGATAGAGGGGAAGATCAGTGAGAAAGTCAATACACAGGTGACCCCATGGTCGTTGTGGAACTGGTAAGGGCTGTAACTTACCTGCTGGGAGGTGCCTAGGTGCCTTACTCTGGGCACACATCAAGCAGGAGGAGACATACACCCTCACGTCCTTAGCCAAGGTAGGCCACCAGTACTTTCCGGTCAGGCAGCGCACTGTACGGCCGATACCTGGGTGACCATAGGAGGGGGACATGTGTGCCCAATAGATCAGACGGTCACGGACAAGAGACGGCACGTCTCACAGCCCAGCTGGGCACTGAGGTGGAGATGGCTCTGTGCGTAACACTACCGGTGCCACAATACAGGAGGCTGGGAGTATGGTGGTGTTGTCTATTGGCCTCCCCTCTGTGTCGTACAGCCATGACAGTGTGTCTGCCTTCGCGTTCTTCATACCCGGGATGTAAGGCAGTGTAAAATCAAACCGTGTGAAGAATAGGGCCCACCAGGCCTGGCGAGGTGAACAGAACCCTCAGGTTACTGAAGGCCCTGTCCACCTCAGCAGACCAGCGAAGCCGGGACGGCCCACCCTTCAACAGAGATGTGATGGGAGCTGCGACCTTGCCAAAGCCCCGGATAAACCTCCGATAGTAGTTGGCAAAGCCAATAAAACGCTGCACCGCCCAGCTCTCCCGGATCGCCGCACCGCCCAGCTCCATCATCTTGTGATCCGGGTTGGGGTGGGGTGGAACAGGCATGCCCCTTCCAGGACGTCCTCTAGAAGCCAGCAGGTTGTCCATCCGGATGGCTATGTCCACCAGTTGATTGAAGAACAACGTGGCGTCCCGGCAGGCTAGCGGACGTCCTTTTGCAGGTGGCACCAGAAGGGGTCGATGAGGACCCGCTCATTCCACCCGGACTCAGCCGCTGGAGTCTGGACTCCTGCGCGGTCCTCGTCCCCTGCCTCAAATGGACCAGCCGCTTGCCCGGCTCTCTCGCTTCGGGAGGGTGATTGAAGACGGCCCGGAAGAGGCGAGCGCACTCCCCGTAGTTGTCCAACGCGGCTCCTCCTTCACTCCAGACCGCGTTGGCCCACTCCAGGGCTTTGCCCGAAAGGCAAGAGACGAGGGCGGACACCTTCTTCCGCTCCGAGGGAGCCGGGCTGATAGTGGAGAAATAGAGGTCCAGCTGCATGGAGGAAACCCTGGCAGCGGGCCTGCTGTCTCGTCGTATTCCCTTGGTCGGGAAAGGTGAATCCCTCTGGGTGCTGGGGTGTGGCTGGCTGGATCCGGTAGCCCAGCTGGTTCCGAAGGATCGGGTCCTCTCCTCTCCATGCGTTGGACGACCTGGAGAACCCGATCCATCGCTTCGCCCAAGCTGGCTAGTATATTCGAATGCTCCCGGACCCGGACCCGGTCCACGACTCCAGGCATATTCCCGGTTCCTGCTGACTCCATATATTCGGGTGTGTGATTCTGTAGCGGGTAATGATGGACGGAGTCAGACGCAGGAGAGGAAATCACGGAATAAATTGTTTAATCAATAAATAGAGGTACACAGCATTGAGTAATACACACCAGTGTGGACAAACGGCACACTGGGGAAAATAAGGCAGACGGGTGAATAACCCAGCGATACACAATAGAAATGAGCTCCACCGAGCTATAATCTCCTCTACAATAAACAATCACACACAAAGACAAGGGGGCAGAGGGAACACTGATACAGGTGCTGATGAGGGGATATGAACCAGGTGTGTGTAATAAACAAGACAAAACTAATGGAATGATGAGATGAGGAGTGGCAGTGGCTAGAAGGCCGGTCAAACATTATATCTGTTTGGGCTTCTTGCGGTCAATTTGCAGTCTACAAATTCTATGTAATTATGTTCCGGAAATCGGACCGCGGCTGAATCTAGTTGATGATCCCTGCCCTACAGTTTAGGGTTAAAAAAAACTGTGTTTATGGTTCTCACGACAGCTCATCAATGTGAGCGGTGCACGTCACTGCATGTAGCCTTTCCCTCTACCATTGGGCGGATTCGATTATGCTGAGCCGATTTGAACCAGCAAAAGTGGTTCAAATCGTTTAGTAATCTCTGTCATGTTGTCAACAATGCAACCTGGTGCATCATCCAAAAACATAGAACATTTCTTTTCTATAAAATATATATTTCAATTTTCAAACTAGTTTTTATTGGAAAGGCAGATAAAGTAAAACACACATTTTAAAAAAGCAATCACTTTTGCATGTGAAAACCAAAATTCCTACTCATTACCCAGCATGTGTAATTACACCACTTTTGTTTTGAGCCGACATCCCTGTAGGCTTTGAACCGGGCCAGGAGGCAGCCCTGTTCCAAAACGAATGCAACAACTTTCACCTGGTGCAAAAGAGGCATACCTGGGTGACCGGGCCAGATTAACCGAATCCCCTCAACGAGCGCCGTAAATACACAGATGTTGATTTTCCGGACGTTCCAGACGGACTACATCTGAACCAATCATAGACGACCTCTATAGTTCATCAAGTTATGTAAATCTGATCAAATAATAGGAATTCGTGGCCAAGCATGGGTGTATGTTGTGGCAGCAGTATAGTTATTCTCATCGACCGACTGACTAATTGCTAGGCTACGTTATAAAATGGAAGTTTACAAATACCCAGTTTTCTTCGAGTGCCAGACTCTGGACCCATCACAGAAAGAGAAGATAAAAAAGTACTTTCAAATTCGCCGTAAATCCGGTGGCGGAGATTGTGGACCAGTAGAATCAGTTGGTGACAACGTTTACAAGGTTGCGTTTATTTACCGGAAAGGTATGAAAATGTTTAGGCGAAGTGATAGGATATTGAATGCCTTTTTTATTTATTTTTTACCATGCGCTCTTGCCAATGTCTGTTCATAAATTAAAGTTAGTTTGTTCAATATATGATTTATTCTATGGCCTATTTGATTACAATTTATCATTTGAATAGGCCTACATTTGGGTAAGACAATCATATTTAAACTTCAATGAGGATTCTCCAAATCAGAATGTTTGTCAGACATGCGGTTTTCACTAGTTACCACAGCCACAAAGTCAGAATTGGCTATCATGAATATTCATGAAAAGAAAAATGCTTTTTGGTCTCGATTTAAGGTTTGGCATAAGGTTAGCAGTGTGGTTAAGGTTAGGTTTAAGGTTATTGTTAGGTTTGAAATAATATTTTATTAAGAAAATAAATTGTAGTAAGAGGCAGGGTTTATGACTTTGTGGCTATGGTAACTAGTGATGACTGACATTCAGCAAATAAATCTGGTTTTGGAGTAAATTTCACTTTCACATAGCCAGGCTACAGGTATGCAGACAGGTATGCACAAATGCATTCCTTTGGCTTTTCATTATATGTATTAACTCTACAGTACTTTATCAATTTAAAAGGAAATAACATTTTTATTTTAATAACTTTTATGATTAATTAAGAACATTATAGATGTATATACAGTGTATTACTTTAGAGATTACAGCACAACTCCTTTAGTTTATGTAGCCTTTAACTCTTCAAGTCCTGGACTAAATGCAAAAGGCTTAATTAATGCAGTAAAAAAATATTATAATCATTTCTGTTGTTGTTATTGTTCTTACTGCTACTACTACTAATACTACAACAACAACTCATTATGACTCTGTAACTCTTCCAGTCCAGGAGAGGGTACTTCAGAAAACTCATCATGTGTTGGAGATGCCTGGGGGACCTCTTTCCCTCACTCTGAGAGGCAGCCTGGAGCCTCCACCCACAACAACCTCCCCAGTAAGCAGTCAGGCGGTGACGCCCGACTATACAGACACAACTACAGTATAGAGTACAGGCTGAGTCACATAACCTGTTAGATAAGACATTTATTTTCCCTAACATGAGGTCAAAGTACACAGACGTCAATGCACTGTTGTTGTATTTGCATCCCAGTAAACACATAGCTTAGTCATACATCGTGGATCTGCCAGTCAGGTAATAACTATAATATCCCTTCAAATGAGGCCAAAATAGTCTGCACTGATTTTATTGCATGTTTGGTGTATGTTATATTGTAATAAGTAACATCATAATTTACAATATGAGGAATGACAAGAACATACATTTTAGCAAAACAAATCTGTACTACACTAAATGGACAAATGCCAAACCAGTTTTTTTTTAGATGTATCAGATAATCCAGACGCAGCTGTACGGTTGACCTACAATAATAAATCAATAATAAATGTAGATAAATCCAGACATAATAATCATTAACAGTAGAATTATCCAGGACTTATACCTTTCTTTTCTGACTGTAGCGTCACCAACTCCTCCCATTACGTCCCTTCTTCCCAGTCCAGACATCGCCACCTGGTGGCCTAGAGCATGAACTCCATCTAGACTCCTACCTCCTGCGCTACCTGAAGGAGAGCCCTGGGGCTGGAAAAGACCTGCAGCAGCAGCTGGCCTTTCTGGGCTGCTCTGTCCAGCTCCACCAAGAGGACGGGAGGGCAGTGGTCAGAGACTCAGGCCAAGCTGGGTCATGTGGAGATGGAATCGGGGTTGGGGTGGGACCATGGAAGGCACAGGTAGAGAAACTGTTCAAACATCTCCATGAGCGGTACCAATGCCACTATGAGGTAGACGCATGTAAGCTCCAGACGCTGCTGCAGAGAAGTACCCTAGGTTCGAAGGATGTGAGGGTTTACTGCGAGGCAGGGTTTGCAGTGGTGGTTGGAGAGGAGGCTGAGGTACAGGCCAAACTGAAGGAGTTGGAGGCCTTCCAGGCTCAGGGTCTGAGTTCAGGGAAGCAGGAGAAGATCAGCACCACTTGTCGTCTGGAACCGGCCAAGCTCCGTCTTCTAGGGGAAGTTATAGAGAAGGATCTAGGTGAGGCTGTTCCTGGAGTGAGAGTGATGCGCGGTGACTCAGCTCAGCTGGTGCTGGAGGGTTCAGCAAGTGAAGTCCGGACAGCCAGACAGTTAGTTATAGATAAGATCTCTCTGGTGCTGGAGCGGGTGGTGCCTGAGGTGTCCCTCCACCTCCTGTCCTTCTTGAGGCAGGAGTATGGGAGGCCTGAGCACCTGAGCAGCCTGCTGGGGTTTGGATGCCATGTGAAAGTAGAGCTGGGGGACACAGAGCTCCGTCTGTTCGCCCTCTCCTCCTATAAACTGGACCAGGCTGAGAAAGATCTGCTGGGGGAGTTTGGGGAGGAGAAGATCGACTTGCCCAACAGTGCTGCCATCCCGGCTGAACTGAGGTCCAAGCTTGAGAAGAAGGTGAAGGAGATGAACCAGAGCAGGTGCAGGGTGGTGGCCAGGTACGGTCCTGGGTGTAGAGTGCAGCTGCTGGGCCACCTGAAGCAGGTTCAGGAGCTGAGGGAGGAGATCGGGGCCTTTCTCATAGACCGGTCCAGTGTAAGAGTCGTGGGACGCCCTCAACAGAACCATGGTGGCATAGTCGGTGAAGCGGGCCCCGGACCAAGACGTGAGGAGATGGTCGCAGCCACCAGCTATCACCTCCAGGGGGGATTGCAGGTAGTGGTTTGTCAGGGTGACATCACCAAGGAATGGGCGGACGCGCTGGTGAACGCAGCCAATGAGGATCTGGATCACGCTGGGGGCGTGGCTGCAGCTCTGAGCCGGGCGGGGGGACCTGAGGTACAGCGGGCCAGCAGGGATCTGGTTAGGCAGATAGGGAGAGTACCCACAGGTACAGTAGTAGAGACTACAGGAGGGAATCTGCCTTGTAAGATGCTGCTGCATGCGGTGGGACCAGTAGGGGGCAGCGTAGGTGGGAATGAGCGCCCTCTGCTGGAGAAGACAGTAAAGGCAGCCCTGGATCTGGCAGAGACCATGGAGCTCCAGACCCTGGCCATGCCCTGCATCAGCTCAGGGATATTCAGCGTTCCTCTGAAGGTGTGCTCAGAGGCCATAGTCTCTGCAGTGAGGGACTTTGGGAGGGAACAGCGCATCCTTACCAAGGTCACTCTGATTGATGTGAGTGGAGAGGCAGTGAAAGCCATGCAGGAGGCCTGTGATAGGCTGTTTCAGGGGAAGAGGGAGTTTTCTGGGTGGGAGGGAGAGTCTAGCACCACCACCACTACCACTACACATGCTCCTCAGAGAGACACCACTTCTGCCTCCACCAGGGGAGCAGCGGCTCCAGAGGTCTGTGTCCAGCTGGAGATCATCCAGGGAACCATAGAGAAGCAGAAGGTGAGAGAGAGACACACAGTGACATGGCCACAGCCTTCATTCAACAATATTCTGTGAATTATGTTGACTTCATACTGATTCAATGTTCCCGTTCTCTTTGACACTTTCTCTTCCTTTTTCTGTTACCCTTTTTCTTTATTTATTTATCTCTTTCTGTCTTTCTCTCTCTGTCTGTCGCTCTGAAGGTGGATGCCCTTGTGTCCCCAATGGTTGGTAGTGACCCTCTCTCCTCCCGTGTTGGTAATGTCTTGTCGAAGGCAGCTGGACCGGGGCTGATGAAAGCATTTCTGAGGGAATCAAGGGGACAGACTGCACCTGGTGACAACGTCCTGGTGGAGGGAATGTCTGGTCTCAGCTCTGGCTGTGTCTTCTTCCTCAGCTGTGCACACTGGGACAACAACCCCCAAGGACAAGCAGTACAGGTGTGTGTGTGTGTGTGTGTGTGTGTGTGTTATGACCTTGAACCTCCATTAACACTTGATCTCTGGTCCTCTCTCAGGCTCTGAGGCAGGGTGTGAGGAAAATCCTGACCTCTTGTGAGAAGCAGGGCTTCCGTTCCGTTGCCTTCCCTGTAGTTGGAACTGGTGTGGTTCTCCAGTTCCCTCACAACGTGGCAAAGCAGGTTCTGCTAGAAGAGATCCGTCGGTACGAGCAGAACCGAGCGAGCAGAACCCCCTTCCTTATCCGCATTGTCGTCCATCCCAATGACAGAGATCCTACCAAGGTGAGGAAGGACTTTTAAAGAAGGTCTCAAAGAATTAAACTAAATGGCCATTAACTTAAATATGTATCAGCCTAACACATTGCAGATTATCTGAAGCTGTTTAATAATACTGTGTAACACATCCATAATTGCAGATTTGTTTAATAATTGCAATTACAGTCCTTCATTGCAGTTGTATTGTTTGTTCTAATCTACAGGCTTTTCAAATTGCCCAGAATGCTTTGCATCTCAGAGGGTTCGTATTGGGTGCTCGACCAGAGCAAGGTGAGTTACAACATTTCAACCCTACCTTCAAATCAAATTCATTATTACTATATGATTGATCCATTTCAAGTTATAATTATGAACCGTCCCTATAGACATCAGGATTGTGCTGCTGGGGAAAACCGGAGGAGGTAAAAGCAGTGCTGGAAACACCATCTTCGGACAAGATGATGTGTTTTTCGCAGGCAGTTCATCCACCTCCGCAACTCAGATATGTGAAGCGCAGACCAAGAACATCAAAGGAAGAAACATCACCCTGATTGACACACCTGGATTCTTTGACACTGACATAACTGAAGAGGAGCTGAAACCTAAAATAGTCAAATGTATAACAGAGTGTGTTCCGGGGCCGCATGCCTTTCTCATTGTACTGAAAGTGGAACGGTACACAATCCACGAGAACGAAGCCGTGGCGAAAATCGAGACATATTTTTCACCAGAGGCCTTCAAATATACCACAGTCCTCTTCACTCATGGTGAACAACTCAATGGTTTGACCATTGAGAAGTTTGTCCAACAGAATGATGAACTGAACAAGCTTGTGGAGAAATGTGGAGGCCGCTGTCACGTCATCGACAACAAATACTGGAACACCAATCAGCAGGGTCGGCACAGCAACCAGTACCAAGTAGCAGAGCTACTCAACACCATAGAGAAGATGGTGAGAGAGAACGGAGGAGGATGCTACACCAACGAGATGTTTCAAGAGGCAAAGAGAAAAATAAAAGTAGATATAGAGTCTTAGAAAGGCGTCAACGGGCCAGATGTCAGAGGAAGAGATGATAAAACGGGCTAAAGCAAAAGTGAGGAAGAAACTCTTTATCAAATTCTCAGGTATACTAACAGGTGTAGTGCAGTGGCGGTCAGTGCCATTTAAGATGAGGGAGGACAATTTATTTTCATGAGCATGGCCATATTTCTATTACAGCATATTGGATGACTGTCATTCATATTCCATTCACCCAGTTCAATGTAACAGCGATAGGTTTAGGCTACTTTATGATAATCAAATTGTCCCAATACCCATCATGAGGTTGCTACAACCTAGCCTATGAAGGAAAGTTTACAACGTAGGTGCACAGGTCGAGAGACAAATTTGAGGTGACAGACAGTGACACATGGACAGACAGTGACATTCAATACCGCCTTGCACACTCTTGCCTGCATCTAGCTGATATAGGATGTAATCATTAGTCCAACAGTTGCAAACGAGAGTTTCTATTGGACAAATTCAAGTATGTTTATCCCCTTTTGTTCCGTTTGCTTCCGTTACATTTTTTTTTTTCAACAGAATCGCCGGAATGAATACACCCCTGATCACGCGTAAACACACAGCCACGTTGTAATCCTTCTCGCATCCATGTGCTCTCCTCCTCTCACCTCGTTCCTTCGCTTGTGGACTTCAATGCACAACACATCAGCTGTATGTGACCAGGCGAAAAAACCTTTCCAAGCCAAACTGCTACACACAGCCTACATCGTTGTCACCATATTAGCTAAAGTAACATCATAGTCAGTATAGCTAATAGAACTAACGCGTTAGTAGACCCGCTACAATCATGCTGTAACGTTACTGTGTACAGTCAATAAGCAGTTACACCGGCGGGCCCCGGTGGCAATAAATTAGTAAAACCAAAAGCCTTGACTTAGAAAAGTTCCAGTGTTGTGTTGGATAGTCATAGCCAGCTAGCTAACATAGCATCCCTCTGTTTGAGCAGGGTGTTTCAGTAGGCTAAGCTAGCAAGCTGCTTTTGCTAGCTAAGTAAGTGAAACTTAAAGTGAAAAAAAAGACAATCTATCTTTATATATATTTCTCTCTTGCTTCTCCTTCATTTTGGAATAAATTAATTTGTTCAAAACTGTTCAACTATTGTCTGTCTCTCTCTCTCTTTGAGTCAACTACTCACCACATGTTATGCACTGCAGTGCTAGCTAGCTGTAGCTTATGATTTCAGTACTAGATTCATTCTCTGATCCTTTGATTGGGTGGAAAACATGTCAGTTCATGCTGCAAGAGCTCTGATAGGTTGGAGGACATTCTCCGGAAGTTGTCATAATTACTGTGTAAATCCATGGAAGTGGGTGAGAACGATGAGTCTCCTAGGATTTGTATTGAAGTCAATGTACCCAGAGGAGGACGGATGCTAGCTGTCCTCCGGCTACACCATGTTGCTACCCTACAGAGTGCTGTTGAGGCTACCGTAGACCTTCTTTGCAAAATAGTGTGTTTAAATCCATTATTTGGTGACGTGATTATGTTTAGTTTAGTTTTGTCTAAAAAGGATAACCTTTTAAATGTTTTAACATTTTTACTTTTATGAAATTCACTGAGGATGGTCCTCCCCTTCCTCCTCTGAGGAGCTTCCACTGGTGTAGTGGTAGGCATAGCTGCAGGAACAGGAGCATTAAGAGGAGGGATAGAAGGAGCTACTGTAGCAGAGGAGGCAGAGACAGTACAGGAGGCCGCAGAGAAAGCAGCTAGTGCTGTCTACAAGGAAGCTAAGGGTCTTTATGACCAAGCAGAAAACCTTTTGATAGGGTACAGTCAGTTATATGGGTCAGTAACTCTTAAGTAGATGAGATATACCTGAAACCATTGAGTGATGGCAACATGTTTCAACATCTGACTAATAACTGTGAAGACACCAGTCAGTTATATTCCACGTTGGAATAGCTTCTTGACCCCAAATGTTTTTTTCTTCTGATTTGTAAAAATCAGATGACAGGGTAATAGTTAAACTGCATTTGGATGAATATTCAAATTCAATATTTCTATATTTAGTTTCAATACGGTTGATGTTGCATTCATAGTTTGTAAACTTGATACACAGACAATCATTTCAAGCTAATCAAAGATAAATATATTCAACTTCCCAGATGGATTTAGATTCAGTTTTTAAATTCAGTTCTCTAAATTCAGATTCAAAACCAGAGACAACATTCTGGTGTTTTGCCAGCCAGGAAAGGTAGAGGAAAACAGATAGAATCAAATGCTCTCTGTGGTAAACAGAAACTTCTGGCAGTTTCTGAAGCCAATGTGGAATGTTGAATTCATTTTCTTTCTATGAATTTGGCTATACACTATTATGACCATATTCCTGAAAGCTAAGACTCTATAGCATACAGTGGGGAAAAAAAGTATTTAGTCAGCCACCAATTGTGCAAGTTCTCCCACTTAAAAAGATGAGAGAGGCCTGTAATTTTCATCATAGGTACACGTCAACTATGACAGACAAAATGAAAAATTCACATTGTAGGATTTTTTATGAATTTATTTGCAAATTATGGTGGAAAATAAGTTTTTGGTCAATAACAAAAGTTTCTCAATACTTTGTTATATACCCTTTGTTGACAATGACACAGGTCAAACGTTTTCTGTAAGTCTTCACAAGGTTTTCACACACTGTTGCTGGTATTTTGGCCCATTCCTCCATGCAGATCTCCTCTAGAGCAGTGATGTTTTGGGGCTGTCGCTGGGCAACACGGACTTTCAACTTCCTCCAAAGATTTTCTATGGGGTTGAGATCTGGAGACTGGCTAGGCCACTCCAGGACCTTGAAATGCTTCTTACGAAGCCACTCCTTCATTGCCCGGGCGGTGTGTTTGGGATCATTGTCATGCTGAAAGACCCAGCCACGTTTCATCTTCAATGCCCTTGCTGATGGAAGGAGGTTTTCACTCAAAATCTCACGATACATGGCCCCATTCATTCTTTCCTTTACACGGATCAGTCGTCCTGGTCCCTTTGCAGAAAAACAGCCCCAAAGCATGATGTTTCCACCCCCATGCTTCACAGTAGGTATGGTGTTCTTTGGATGCAACTCAGCATTCTTTGTCCACCAAACACGACGAGTTGAGTTTTTACCAAAAAGTTCTATTTTGGTTTCATCTGACCATATGACATTCTCCCAATCCTCTTCTGGATCATCCAAATGCACTCTAGCAAACTTCAGACGGGCCTGGACATGTACTGGCTTAAGCAGGGGGACACGTCTGGCACTGCAGGATTTGAGTCCCTGGTGGCGTAGTGTGTTACTGATGGTAGGCTTTGCTACTTTGGTCCCAGCTCTCTGCAGGTCATTCACTAGGTCCCCCCGTGTGGTTCTGGGATTTTTGCTCACCGTTCTTGTGATCATTTTGACCCCATGGGGTGAGATCTTGCGTGGAGCCCCAGATCGAGGGAGATTATCAGTGGTCTTGTATGTCTTCCATTTCCTAATAATTGCTCCCACAGTTGATTTCTTCAAACCAAGCTGCTTACCTATTGCAGATTCAGTCTTCCCAGCCTGGTGCAGGTCTACAATTTTGTTTCTGGTGTCCTTTGACAGCTCTTTGGTCTTGGCCATAGTGGAGTTTGGAGTGTGACTGTTTGAGGTTGTGGACTGGTGTCTTTTATACTGATAACAAGTTCAAACAGGTGCCATTAATACAGGTAACGAGTGGAGGACAGAGGAGTCTCTTAAAGAAGAAGTTACAGGTCTGTGAGAGCCAGAAATCTTGCTTGTTTGTAGGTGACCAAATACTTATTTTCCACCATAATTTACAAATAAATTCATTAAAAATCCTACAATGTGATTTTCAGGATTATTTTTTCTCAATTTGTCTGTCATAGTTGACGTGTACCTATGATGAAAATTACAGGCCTCTCTCATCTTTTTAAGTGGGAGAACTTGCACAATTGGTGGCTGACTAAATACTTTTTTCCCCCACTGTATATGTTTGGCTGTGTTAGAAGGTCACAAAAACACAATTTGGTCCCCATAAGAATATACTTGAATAGCCATGTCATAGCCCTTCTAAGGATAGCCTTCCTCTCCCTAGTTAATCTTGCTCTTGTGACTGACTGGTTCGAACCATGTGTCCTGCATGTCACAATACTGTGTTAGCCCACTTAGATAAAGCCCATAGGGATTAGTTCAGGAAGCTAACACAAGTCTTCAAGTCTCCAGCAAGGTTCATCGAACGACCTCGGTTAAATTTTACCCCCCTTTGACCTCGTACTCAGAGATCACGACATTAATATAACTGACTGGGTTCGAAATCAGGCCTACTGCACAACAACAACAACTTTCTGTGGCAAGCAGAAGCAGAAGAATCTGTGCACCCCATTTAATGAGAGTGCTTCAGAGGTGGTTTGGTGATCCATCAATGTGATGAGTAGCCTCTTAATTAACAGACTGATTACCACATGTAGACGAACCATTCATGTAAGCTCGCAGAGTCAGGCCGCTCACGAGGCTATATGATGAGCAACCTTGGCTGAGACATGAAGACGTGCTAGTTTGACTGTTGGGGTTTTAACCCAGGTCTCCTGTGCACCAGATAATGCAACTTTTCAGGTCTTAGACAAATTACTCATCACTGAGCGTGGTCACAGAACCACCTGTGTTGCACTTCACCCCCCTTTGACTTCCTCCTTGAAGAGACCCATCCAAGTCACAGGACCAATGCCAAGGCTTTAACTCAACAGGCTAACACAGTCTTAACCCAGTCAGTCATATGAAACCAGGGGCGGACTGGGACCAAAAATCGTCGCTGGCTGTTCTAACACACCGGACCATTATTTTTCTCCAGGCCCCCACACTGGCCCATTATTTTCCTTGAGGCAACCATTTGCAAACGAACATGTCTTAAGGTCTCAGGCAAGGTTATCATCACATAAGCATGTATCAACAAACCACACAAGTAACCTTGCTGTATCTTGAAGACTTAGTGTAGCAGATGGGCATCTGTTAAACTCACTCCTCAACCTTGAGTGTTGCCCATTGCGCAATTGAAGAATGCCTTTATTAGTTGGAATGCATCAGGAGGGCGGTCACGTGTGTTTTCGAGGCAGAGGTCCTGAGTTCGAGTCTCCATATAAGCTGAATCGGGTGAAGCGGTACTCGCTAAGCATGCAGCGTGACGTCCTTTACAATGGTTCCACTGTACTCGGAACTACAGTTGCACTGGTTCAACCTCTGGGGTCGCTGTGGAGTGAGTTAAGGGGTTGAAATGTAGCAGATGGGGATCTGTGAAGCTCACTCATCAGCCTGAAGTGTTGCTCCTTGCGCAATTGGAGAAGGCCTTTTTCAATAGCCCAGTGGGTTGGAACGCTTCAGGAGGGCAGTCGCGTGTTTTTGCAAGGCAGAGGTCCTGAGTTCGAGTCTTTGTATGAGCTGAATCAGGGGGAGGTGGTACTTGTTAAGCAAGCAGCGTGTTGTCCTTTACATGAACTTCCTGAACTTATCCATATAGGATTTAGCTAAGTGGGCTAACACAGTATTGTGACAAGCAGGAGACCTGGTTCGAACCCAGTTAGTCACAAGAGCAAGATTACATAGGGAGTGGAAAGGCTATCCTTAGAAGGACTATTCAACTATATTCTTATGGGGGCCAAATTTAGGTTTTCGTGACAGTCCCTTCTAACGCATCCTGTAATCATCATAGAAGGGAACATCCATGCTCCAAAGAGTCTTAGCTTTTCGGGAATGGGGTCATAATAGCTTGTTGCCAAAATGGTTCAAATGCTAGAGCCAAAATCATTGTAAGAAAATAAATTGAACATCTTATGTGAAGGTAATATGATAACATGTGACAACATCTAAAAGCAACGTGTAAACATAATCTTGTGAAAAATAATAATAATAACATGGGGACGCAAAATGTCAACATGTGATACAATAAAACGATTCGTGACAACATTTGAGCTAGACACAAACCTCCAGGGAAACATGACACAACATCCCCCAAGAGCGCTATTGCCCTTACGGAAAAAACACATGATGTCACGTGGAAATACACATGATGTGAAAATGTGTTTATGGAACACTTCACATGAAATTATGTTTTCACATGCTTTTATGTGAAGTTTGTGATAACATGTAAAGCAACATGTGATAATCACAAACTTCACATAAGATCACATGTTATCACGAGATCACATGTGAAACACATATGATCATGTGAAATTCTTGTGGTTTTTCCGTAAGGGTGAGGATGATGTTAGGATGTGTGCAAGATGTTTTCAAGATATTTGACCTACCAGGATGTCAGGTGATAGTCCCAAATGATCCTAAACCATCCCAAACCATATTAAGTAAAAAATGAAATGGTATGGGGGGTTTAACGGAAGTGGTACGCTGTTCAGATAAAATATGACCTCGCCTGGTATTTGAACTCAACTTCTGGATTTCAGGTGTGCTGATCCTTCTGCTGCACCACAAAGTCTGTAGCAATTTCAGAAGTCCTCTACACATTCAGTACTTATAATATATCTCTGCACTTAGCAAAAGAGTGCCATCTATTCTCATAATTGATTTGATTTACTTACTTCAGCAATTGGAGGGTTTTCTGTATAGTTGTCTAATGTTGGTGAGGCACAGTATTCTGTTTGAATAATTTTCCTGAATCCCTATGATAAATATTATAATTTGTCTTGAGTGTATTTCTAACAAAGCTGAGATTTCCTTTGAAGTACAATGTGTAAGAATACAGGTGAAATCAGTTGTTCACACAGACATGGTGGCGTGGGCAGGAATATCGGAATGACGTGAAC